ATATGACCAATCAAGAATAGCAAACACAACAACAAGCAATCAATCAAGCGATAAACGAACACCAAGATTTAACGTGGAAACCCCAAATCGGGGAGAAAACCACGAAGCCTTCCACTAATCACCAAGAAAATCAGTGGGTACACCAAGAATCCTCTCTAAATCAATTAGAGGTACACACAATCATCAAGTAATAACTTGGAACACCAAACAACAATAATCTTCACTCAAAAGTGAGAAAACCCCAATAAAAACGCAGCAGTAAACAGAGGCGATTTTACCGACATCTAGAGGTCAAAACAACAATCCCACCGTTGGATATGAAGAAGAGGATCTCAGGAACAACATACTAAAATTTCATCCCGACCGGAGCTCGTTTGGTCGTTGATCGGAGCACAAAACCAGGCTGCACCTCTCTTTTTCTCTCCTTCTTCCTTCTCTCGGCTCTCTCTATTTTTCCTCTCTGTTTCTGCTGCTTTTCTTCTGCTCGTGACCAGCCACCAAAAAAAGGCTACTACCTTTTCAAGATAAGTGGCAGCCCCCACTTTGACATTTCCTTTCTTTTTTTTTTCTTTTATAATAATAATAATAATAAATATTATTATTATTATTATTATACTACTCCACCTCTAAACAAATTACATTTTTAACACCAAGTATATTGTTTAGGAACTCCTTCCTCCATGTAGGAGGGATACCCCAACAGTTTAATTGTTCAAAGTTGATTTATTGATTTTTTATTGTCTCTGAAATTATAAAACTTTCATAGGCTAAATTGTTGGACAAAAAGATTGAATCTTTGTTTGTTGAATTAATTTGGCTTTGAAGGAATTTTAGCTCTAAGCTACTGTTAAATCTAAACTCGAAAAGGTGTTTTGAGATTTATTTTTCACATGATTTTATTTGAATTGGACCAAATTAGGAACGCGCGCCTAATCCAGTTTAAATTGATATTCTTTTAAAGTCCAAAGTGCTTTAAATAGCCGAACTTTTCTAGAAACCAAGTGTCACTTGATTAGTACTTGTTGCCTCGCTAAGTGGTTTTTATTAAATAACCGCACACCAATTATTGATTCGAATGTCGGGGTGCTGTCTTTCTGATTTTCCCACAACGAACAAAAACACCGGCGCAGCAGCGCCAAGGAATATAATAATGAGTGTGCAACCTCGCAGAGCTTAGTTATGCTGCCTGTGAGCTTTGCATCCTTTTAATAAAAATGACTCTCGGCAATGGATATCTCGGCTCTTGCATCGATGAAGAACGTAGCGAAATGCGATACGTGGTGTGAATTGCAGAATCCCGTGAACCATCGAAACTTTGAACGCAAGTTGTGCCTCAAGCCATTCGGTTGAGGGCACGTATGCTTGGGTGTCATGCATTATGTCTCCCCTCTCGTGTGTGGAGTGGGAATAGATCCTGGCCTCCTGGGCCCTTCCTTGGGCGTGGTTGGCCGAAAATGTTGTCCTTAGTTTTGTTGATGTCTTGGTGTGTGGTTTGTTAAATAACCGTAGTGTTACTGCAAAGTTATTATGGTGATGTTTTCCAAAGATTTTAATGCGTTATTCTTAGTAGTAACTTAAGGGTTGGTCTTTGGGTTGCTAAGGGTAGTAGTGTTTAGAGTTAGGGTTGGTCCTGACATGAGCTAATATGAATGGGAGAACAGGGAAGAGCCGTTGGTGGACCTTTTCTTCAGCCTAACCCTGAGTTTAATTAGCAGTTTAGTTTCAGGCTCAAGGCATAATGAATTAAGGAATCATATTTGTTCAGTTTATTTTCTATTAAAAACTATAAGTATTTTCAAAATGGTTTAAGTTACTTATTATTGTCTACGTTTTTATAAAGTTTAAATGTGTGTTTGTTTTCTCCTTGAGTGTTACTTCTGAGTTCGAGCTTGCTGTTGTGGTTCCATCTCTTATCTGGTATCTTTTATCTCATTTTATTTGCATGTTTTTATCTTTTTAGAATCATCATTCAAACCCCACCATATCCTTTAGTTTTAAATTTTAGATTTTAGTTAGTGTTTTATTCAATAAAAGTGACAAGTGAATTGATTTTCATAGCTTAAAAAATATCTTTTCTCGTGGGATCGACCCTTACTTGCCCTATCTATATTTTTTAATGAATATTAATTCATAAAGGGGGTTAAAAGTTAAGGAAAATAATAAATCAATTTGTAGGTGGTACGACACGCCTATCAAATTTTCAAAATTTGATAGGCATGTCGTAACACCTACAAATTAATTTATTATTTTCCTTAACTAGTTATCTATCCTGTCGATTCAAGAAAATTGATGAGGTAAAGAATAGAAAAGAAATCCTCAAAGGAGCTTTTAAACCGCTCCCCTAACAAAATCCAAATTACAATAGATATTTGATGAGATTAAAAATATTAAACGTAATCTTGGGAGCGCCGTGGGACCCAAAGACAATGGGACAAGCTTCTGATGGGTCGTATGGTTGAGTCGTATCATGTATATACAATAACATCATATATTTAAATTTATAACATAGTACCTCAAATACGGAAAAGATGAGTTTTTTATTCATAATTTAATTTTTATATATACTTCATTTAAATGAAAAATCTTTTAATATTTCTTTCCCTAACAATTTTACACTTTTTCCAGTTTCTTTCAATTCTTTCAGTTTTTCTAACATCCAACTATATATAGAATTCTAATATAAAAAAATAGACCTATATTGTTGAAGAATAATTCTTCTTCCGTCATGGGGTCAAAATTTAATTTAATCACCTTATTTACTTTTTTACTCTACTCATTTGGTAAAATAATATACTCTTATCAGTTTTGTAAAATTTTTTTATTTAATTTTTTAAATATATAATTTTTTTTCCTATTTTTTTAAATTATATTATACACCAATTTTCAAATAAATCAAATATAAAACAATTTTAATTAAATATGGTAAATATCATATAGTTTAAACTGAGACACACGAATTTTACTACCTCCGTCCCAGAAGATTTGTCCACTTTCACTTTTACACACCATCCAATACACTTCTTTAATCCATTTTATCTTGTAATTTGTATATTAAACAATTATAGAAATTATATATTAATAATCTATATGTTAAGACAAATCAAACAAGATCACACATGACTATATTTAGACTTACACATTGAGAGAATTTGATGAGTCAAAGTGCTTAGATTAACAGTTCCAAAAGTTGAAACTGGACGAATACTCGAGAAGGAGGGAGTAGGAAATAATTAAAAAGAACGAGCAATCATTTGCATGCTAAAAATACAAAACACAAACCATTTGCAAAATTAATTAGTTGGGCACTTCGGCCTGGGCATGTACATATAGTACCAACTTGATTTGTCATTTTCATAAAATATGGACACGGGTAGGAGGGCCATAGCACTTACAATGGTAGGGAATTAGTTTCGTTTAACTCCTGCCACGTCACCATTCTATTAATTTCTAACCTTCAAAATTCTACATTGTTATCACCCTCATTATTTAACATTTTTAATAAGATACTCCTATTTATTTACTACTAAAAGTAAATGAAAACTTATAAGGTTTCCTGCCCAACTTCATTAATCCAAAGAAATATTTGCACTAAATAGCACTAAAACTTAAGTCATTTCCCTAAATAGCACTTAAACTGTTTTATTCTCTAAATAGCACTTATAATGTCCATAATGTCCAGTGATGGCGAAATTTTGCTTGAATAATGACTAATGCATAATGACTAAAAGTGTTACATTGGAAAGAAAAACATATGTAGTGCTATTTAGGGAAAGTCATTATGTTTTAGTGCTATTTAGGTAAATTTCTCTAATTCAAAACCACTTGGCGACCCTAAGTTTGCAACCCCTATCTTTCTCTTTTCCATTTTTTTCTCAGAGCTCAAACCTTTCTTCGATTTCATCACCAAGGCCAGAATTAATTAAAATCTTGTTAAAGAAGAAGAATAAGAAGCTAACAGGAGAATCAGCAGTACAAAAAAAAAAAAGAATTCGGATCGGGCGCAGCGGTCGCTGCAATCGATGGCCGCCGCTCGAACTCGCCCGCACCGCAGGACCGGCTATGCGCCGTGCACGCGTCCTGCACCACAGCTTGTCGCCGTGCGCGCGACTGCGCCTCCAAGAAAGATCTTCAGGGTCTAACTCTTTTATAGATATATTTTATTTCATTCGTCCCAAAAATTCTTTATTTCTTTATTTTTGTTCTTTCCAAATTCTTTCCTTTTTTCCATACGAAATAATTTTTAATTCTTCTAATTCTTGCTCTACATATTACATCATATTTTTTTTACTAATAATTTACGCATCAAATCAAAAGTATTTTAAGAAAATTACACAAACATATCCCCCTTTTATTTTTTTAAAAAGTCAAAAAGAGAATAATTTTATAAGACAAAAGAAGTATATGAATTTAATATTTTAAATCCAGAGTAAATAACAACTTTATAATGTACTGTAGTATTTTTAGACGTTTTCTCAAACATGTAAGGAGTAAAAAATGTGAAACTAGATAAAATAATATCATAAATTCCCAGTATAAAAACGTTGTTTAATTAGGACATAGAATTACTACATTAATTAACATGAAAATATTAAATTGAGCAAATTTTAGCAAGAAAAATATTCTTGAAAATAAGGAGTACTATAAGCTCACTAAAGAAATCAATTAGTGACCCCACCAATCATTTTTGGAAACACCCCTAATCAAAATAGAGTGACGCTTACGTAATCTCAATATCTATATTTATGTGGACATATTCACATTTTTAATAAACTTGTGTTAGCGTAATATATTTGTAAATATTCGTTTATTATGTATTGGGCTATGTACATTATGGGCCCGTAGCTAGTATACTCCGTCATGTATATATACTTCATGTGACTAATGGAAAACACAAGTTTCACGTCCAATAATTTCCACATGGTACCGGAGCGATCCTAGGGTTAGTCTCCAAACCCCTGCTCTCGTGTCGTTGGTGCGCCGCCCGTCTGTCTCTCTCGGCGGTGCTGTTCGCCGTAGGTGCGTCGGAGCCAGAGCTCGTCGGCCCTCCTCCTTCGCTGAGCAGATCCGGAAGGTTTGTTCCAATCCAGCATCGGCCGTCAAGCTTTGTCCTCTGCAAACTTCGTCCGTCCAACATCATCAGGTCCGTTCGTCCGCCGACAAGTCAGCCGTCTTTCCGCCGCTCGTAATCCACAATTCGGCCAGATTTCTATCTGTCCTTGTCCGGATTCGCCGATATCAAATTCAATTCCAGCAGATCCGCCCGTCCAGATCCACCCGTCCGTCTGTTCCAGCGATCCATCCCAGCAGATCCGCCCGTCCAGCGATCCGCCCAGCAGGTCCGTCCCAACAGATTCGTTCATGCTATCTTCGTCGACCTCCGTCCTTCAGCCGTCAATTTCAACCGGTTCTTTCATCCTTCAGCAGTCAATTGTAGCCGAACCCTCAAAAAAAATCTCATACCATGGCTACCGAATTGTGTGGAGATAAAATGGTTTGGTTAATGTCTGTGATTGATTCTTCTTCGTTGAATCAAATGAATGGTATGACTTCTACATTTTGTGAATGGTTAATTGATAGTGGAGCTTCACATCACATGACCGGCTCTCTTGCCCACTTATTTAATGTTGAGGATGTTTCTCCCCATTCCATATGTCTCCCTGATGGGTCCCGTGTTCAGGCAGTCAAAAAGGGAAGTGTGCATCTGTCTTCTCGTTTGGTACTACGTAACATGTTATACGTACCAAACTTACACTGTCATTTGATTTCTGTTGGATGTTTGATTCGTGATAATACTTGTTATGTAACTTTTAATGATCATCGTTGTGTGATACAGGATTGTTCTTCGAAGATGGTGATTGGACAGGGTGACTTGCGAAACGGCGTGTATGTCTTTGCCTCAATTCCTGCGTCAGCCCTCGTAGCCAATATCGATCCTTCTCTTCTACATCAACGGCTAGGCCACCCCTCCGTGGATGTTCTCTCTTTTCTTAGTACCAATAAAACACAATCTGTTTTCCAAAAATTACAGACTTGTGAAATTTGTTTTCTGTCTAAACAAACTCGTTCTCCATTTCGTAGTAGTGATAATAAAGCTGATGCTATTTTTTATTTAATTCATTGTGATTTGTGGGGACCTTATTCACCTTGTATTTCGTCTGGAGCACATTATTTTCTGACAATTGTTTATGACTTCTCTCGTGCTGTCTGGGTTTATCTGATTAAATCCAAAAGTGAGGTCACCTCTTGTTTACGACGTTTTTTCACTATGATCCACACCCAATTCTCTAAAACAATAAAAATTGTTCGTTCTGATAATGGTACAGAGTTTCTAAACTCCCCTTTGCGTCAATATTATGAAAGCTTGGGTGTGTGTATTCAAACGTCTTGTGTTGGTACCCCACAACAAAATGGGCGGGTAGAACGTAAGCATCGCCATATATTGAATGTAGCCCGATCCCTTATGTTTCAGGCATCTCTTCCACTGGAATTTTGGGGGGAGTGTGTCAAAACGGCAGTCTACTTAATTAATCATACTCCCACTAAAATCCTCGGGGGTAAATCTTCCCTTGAAGTTCTTTCCTCTAAACCTCAAGACTTAAGTCATCTTCGGGTTTTTGGGTGCCTTTGTTTTGTCCATCCTGTTCCCAAACCTAAAAATAAGTTTTCCCCATGAGGTGTCAAATGTGTGTTTGTGGGATATCCATATGGTACCAAAGGGTGGAGAGTTTATAATCTTGACACACATAAATTTTTCCATACGAGGGATATTTCTTTTGATGAAACCATTTTTCCGTTTGCCGTCCCTACTCCCACGTCAAGTCCTCAACCCATACTCACGCCCTCCCCGGTTGATTTTGTCATACCAGTGACCTAGTAGCCGGCCCAGTCCACCGTCCCCTCTGCCATACCAGTACCAACTTAGCAGCCCACCCAGCCCTTGTCTCCATCCCCGTCACCTTCTCCGTCCACTTCCGACAGTCCCCCCGCCTCCTCCTCTGACGACGACAGCGCTATGTCTTCCCCGGTGGAGACCACTTCTCCACCGCCTATAATTCCACCCTTCTGCCTCACACGCGTCGTCGTCCATCTCATTTAAACGACTATGTTCTTAATTCCACAAAGATAGTCACTCCGGCTCCGGTCTCCTCCTGGTCTTCACAATCTGGTACTCGGTTCCCTATCACTCTGTTCATTATTATAAGTTGCATGAAAGGTACAAAGGTTTTCTTGGAGCTATTGATGCCACGACTGTTCCCCATAATTTCCGTGAAGCTATTCAGTTTGCTTCATGGCGGGAAGCTATGGCTACTGAGTACTTGGCTCTGGAACGTAATCATACTTGGGATGTGGTTGATCTTCCTCCTAATCGCCGTGCTCTTGGTTGTCAGTGGGTCTATAGGACTAAATATCGTTCCGATGGTACTAAGGAGTGTGACAAAGCTCGCCTTGTTGTTTTGGGCAATCATCAGGAGCTTGGAGTTGATTATACTGATACTTTTGCCCCAGTTGCCAAATTAGCTACTGTTCATGTTTTGTTGCCTGTTGCAGTGGCTCGTGGTTGGCAGGTTGATCAGTTGGATGTTAGTAATGCCTTCCTACATGCCGATTTACAGGAGGAGGTCTATATGAAAGTACCACCGGCCAGCTCTTTCCAGGGAAGGTTTGTCGTCTTCGTAAGTCTTTATATGGGCTTCGTCAGTCCCCTCGTAATTGGTTCACCAAGCTTCGTATTGCTCTACGACAATATGGTTTTTGTCAAGCTCATGTAGATCACACTCTCTTTGTTCTTCAGCGTGGACCTGATATGTTGGTTGTTCTTGTTTATGTTGATGATATTCTGGTGGCAGGTAATAACAGGTCCTTGTGTACTTCGTTCAAGAAATATTTGGACGATTGTTTTCATCTCAAAGATCTTGGTCCTGTGTCTTATTTTCTGGGGATTGAATGTTCCCGTTCTCACGATGGTATGGTCCTTAATCAACGAAAGTATGCCCTTGACATTATTGATGAGGCCAATCTCCTAGGGTGTAAGCCTGCCGATACTCCATTACCAGTTAATCATAATTTAGCTCGTTCCACCAGTGCTGAGATTCGGGATCCCCTTAAGTATTTTCGTCTTGTGGGCCGTTTGCTTTACCTGACCATCACTCGTCCTGATATATGTTATGCCGTTCACACTCTTTCTTAGTTTATGCAGGCTCCCCGTCTTGATCATTGGAATGCGGCTCTTCGTGTCCTTTGTTATCTCAAGGGACACCTGGTCAGGGTATTTTGTTGCGCAGTGATAGCAATCTCGCCCTCACTGCCTTTTCTGATTCTGATTGGGCTAGTTGTCCTCTCACACGCACTGGTTATTTCATTCTATTGGGTGGCTCTCCAGTCTCATGGTGCACGAAGAAGCAGACTACAGTTCTCGATCTTCTGTAGAGGCTGAATATCGCGCTATGGCAAATGCTTGTGCCGAAATCCGTTGGTTGCGTGGGATCTTGGCCGCCTTAGACATTCCTTGTGTAGCGACTCCTTGTTTATATTGTGACAACAAGTCTGCCTTGTTCATTGCCGCTAATCCAGTATTTCATGAGCGTTCACAGCATATCGATATTGATTGTCATATAGTCCGAGAATGCCTTCAGCGCAATCATATTGTCACTGCTTATGTTCCTACGCGTTTTCAGACAGCGGACATCTTCACAAAGGCTCTCTCCGGTCCTCTTTTTCACAGCTTATTGTTCAAGTTGGGCATTTATGATCTTCATGCTCCAACTTGAGGAGGAGTGTTAGCGTATTATATTTGTAAATATTCGTTTATTATGTATTGGGCTATGTACATTATGGGCCCGTAGCTAGTATACTCCGTCATGTATATATACTTCCTGTGACTAATGGAAAACACAAGTTTCATGTCCAATAATTTCCACAACTTGCATACGATTCTATTCTTTCTTTTCTAAAAAGTCTACTTCTTTTATATTACATATATGTGCTAAGGTCCATAAAATTAGAATGGTCGTTTGATCCACGGAAGAATTTACATACCATCAAAATGTCAAACTAAATTCTTTTGTTTACATAAGCTCATATATTTAAAAAAACTTGTTTAGTAATTTTTTTTACAAAATTTTTAATGTAAATTTTTTATATATATAAATTTTATTTTGTATTTATATACAAGACACTTGAATATCATAAATCAAAATAAAAAAAAACTAAAAGGCCGGACCAAGGGACACACATGGGTCTACGACAATCGAGTGTGGCTTTGTCTACCTAGCCTCCACCAGACAATAGTTGATGCAAACATGACGGACAAAGCACACAAAGAATTTGAGCAAAGAAACGTCGCCGAGTACCCAAACAGGGACGGACGAGAAGAGGCAATTGTTTCAAGAATGCGTGCAACATGGTAGCTAGGGTTAAGTAAAACCATAGTCTTCTACTAATAAGTTCTCACAAAATTGGATGCTGCAAAGGAGCAGTGGTAACAAATGAAACTAATAATGTTGCAACTTCGTTCATTCATTCATAAATGGCATCAAGAAATTAAAGAAGAAGGGCAGCGCCGCAGCTCGTGCTCCTCCTCCTCCTCATCATTTTCTCGGCAGCGCCGGCGTTTCTGTATGATGTTGTTGGTTTCACTTCCTCAACACGCTGCTGGGAATTGAATTCATCCAAGACATGTTTTGGAATGATGAGAATGGAGAAGGTAGAGTTTTCAAGCTAGCTAGCTAGAAGATTCATTATTTATGTATTTATGTACCTCTTCCTCTTTTCTTTTCCTCTCCATCTCTTCCTGTTGTACATATAGATATCAGCTGATTTCCATGTCAATGAAATATACGGAGTATTTATAGAAACATGATCTCAAAAACACAGCAGAAAGTTTGATTTCACGTAGCATTAAAAAAAAGCACTGACAAATAAAAAGTGAATAATTGAAATTCGTTTAAAAAGGAAGAAATGTGGATCACATACCAATGCTCGTTTGAGATTAGAATTTTCTTCTTTCAACTGATTCAGCTCGGCTTCAAGCTCAACTGTGTAAGCCTGCAAGTGATGATCGAAACATTAAGATCGACCTTCTTTTGGAATAGCGTTTTCAATTACCGTTTATAATTTAGATAATTTTTAATGGTACAAGATTACCATTGAAAACGTTAAAACTAAATGCTTGTCATTAGATATATACTCCCTCCGTCCCATAAAATCTTTCTCCTTTCTTTTTTCATCCGTCCCATAAAACACTTCTCATTTCTATTAAAAAGTTACTTTTACCCCTTATTTTTTCATACCCTACCTATCACATCATACCTTTTTACTAATAATCTACCCATGAAATCCTATTTTTACCCATCACATCAAAGAACATTTTTGGAAATTCAATACCAAAATACACTCCCTTAAATCTCTTCAAAAAGCAAAACATCCCATGTTTCATGGGACGGAGTAACTACTACGTTTTTTGAAGTGCTGAAATTGTTCCTAAACGGGGACTAACTTATCATTTGTACGCGGGTTTCCCAAACCACTTCTCTAGCTATTTACAATATGTCATCATTAGAGTATTTAGAAAGGTAAACAATTACTACGTACTCCCTCCGTTCCATAAAACCCTTCCAGTTTTGACTTTGAGGAAAAATAAGGAAAGTGTAATTTTAGTTGACTTTCCAATTTTGCCCTTGATGTAATGGGAAAAAGTAAGATGTGAAAGTTTGGTTATTGGTAGAAAAGTATGATGTGATAGGTAGGATATGAAAGAGTATGGGTAAAAATGGTTTTTTAATAGAAAGTGGAAGTGTTTTGTGGAAAGCAAAAAAAACGAAAGAGAAAGAGTTTCGTGGAACGGAGGGAGTATATTACTTCACCCATGGAGCTAAATTGAGGTACTGATTGAACTTAATTTTAAAATATGTGGTAAAAAAAGAGTGAATATGTTATTATGGGACAAGCCGGACAACCATATGGAGTATTAAAACAAACTAGAACATTAATAAAGGAAAATAAAAGTTCATCAAATTAACACTTCCGCTTAGCTTGAATGATACTGAGAAAAGTATGAATTACACCCTCCCCACCCCATTTTCTTAAAAAATAAACCAATCCAACAATAGCAAATATAGAACTGTCAAACACATTCAAAGAGTAGGAGGGCCGAGGGTGCATGAGAATAGAAAAAAATAAAGAAATATTTGCGCTAAACGTACCTGCTTCCTGGCTCGGGATCTTGCAGCCGATTCTCTATTCTTGATCATCCTCCTCTGCCTACGCTCCACCACCACCTCCACCGGTCCATCTGTGATCCGCTTCCGCCCTCCCCCTGATCTCATCCCGGCAGCCTCTTCTAACCCGTACGGGTTTCCTCCACCCCCACCTTGATGCTCATCAGGGGACGCCGGACTCGCCTGCGACGATCCTAGACCACCTATTACATGCCCGTACACGGCCCCACCACCACTTCCGTTCCCCATTCTCCCGCCATAAACAGCGGATAGCGGCGGAGGTTGTTGTGGAAGCGCCTGGTAAGGTAGTGCAGGCACTCCTACCCCACCTCCGCCGCCACCCAAGCCCATCACGACTCTTCCCGCCACATAAGTGGTGGGGTCCATGACTGTGTTATCGCTGTTGTTGTTTTGGTACATCGAATATTGTTGTTGCTGCTGGTGGTGGTGCAGTAATGACGTGGATGGGGCAGGAATCTCCGCCTGCTCCCGAACCACACCCGCTCGGACCAAGAAATCCTCTAGTGTCATTTCTCCAAATGTAACCTGTCTTTCATGGGTACTAGTAGTAGTATTATTATTGGAACCCGCTGCCACCGTCCCCGTCACGACAAGATTATTATTGTTATTATTTAAATTATTAGTATTACTATGAAACTTTCCATCCCCTCCGCCGCTGCCACCTGGTGGCATTTGATGGTTTTTACGAATCTCGGCCCAAACTTCATCGACCGTTTTTCGGCACAACGGCTCTGGCAGCGAGAGCGATCCTTGTCTTGTCAAGCTTGGCTGCAGCCTCGGAAGGTTATTGCTATTGTTGTTGTTATTATGATTGGCATGGTGACCCATGACAAAATTATGGGTCACTGGGACATGGGCATGGTTCTCCTCGGCAGTCCAAATGCTAGTAAGGAACTCATCCATGTTCATGGACCCGAAGTGTCTCCCGCTCTCGCAAAGGGTGTGCTGGAACTCGTCAAGTGTGAGGGAGTAGATAGACGACTGTCTGCCGAGGGATGACGTGGACAACCCATTATTGTTGTTGTTGTTGTGAAGACGATGATTCTCGGGAGGCTGCAATTGCAATGTCGATTCTACCTCGCCGCCTTGAGATGCTGCCATTTCTGAATCGGGGGCAACCATCTTAGTAAATTCGGGTTGAGACCCGATTTTCTTAACTTCGAATGTTTAGCTGGCTAGAGAGCCTAGCTTCTTGATAACTCTCAAATAATGTTATCGCGCTGCTGCGCTGGCCTACCTGGAAATTATGGATTTCAACTTTGTTAGTATGAGTAAAATATAAGGACTAATGACTTTTCCCAAATAGCATCATGTGTTATGAATTTTCCAATCTTACATTTTTAGTCATGATTCAAGTAAATCTTCAGACATTATTACTTCTTTTACCCATAGACATTATTACTTCTTTTACCCATTATTAAATACTATTTAGGAAATAAAAAAGTTAAAGTGTTACATTGGGAAATGACTTATGTTTTACTGCTATTTAGTACAAATATTTCTTATTAGTATACTATACCGGCTACTCCCTTCGATTGGAAAAAACATTTCACAATCTCTATTTTAATACTTTAAGCATTAAAATTTATATTTATATATAGAGATATACTCCCTCCGTCCCTAAAAACACTTCTCATTTAGTCATTTCTATTAAAAAGTCATTTTTACCCCTTACATTTTCATACCCTATATACCTATTACATCATACCTTTTTACTAATAATCTATTCATCAAATCATACTTTTACCCATCACATCAAAGGACATTTTTGGAAATTCAATATCAAAATACACTCTCCTTAAATCCCTCTTCAAAATCAAAACTCCCATGTTTTCCAGGACGGAGGGAGTATTTTATAGTCTGTAAAAATTTAATATTTTCAAATTACATTCCAAAAAAAAAAATTTATTGTTATTACATTTATATCACATATATTGTCATGTAATGTAATTTTTCTACACATCAAGGACAAAAATTATAACTTTTAATTAAGAAAAATTCAAATAAAAGGAAAGAGTAAAAAGCAACTTAATTTAAAAATGTAAGGAAAAAATCTAAAGTGGAAGTAAACTAGTGAAATATATGAAAATAAGAGTTTTATGTTTTTATCATTGGCATGACTTCCGGACAAAGGAAAGAACTTAGCCCAAGCAAATTTAAAAAATAGGTGTGTGTGTCTACACACACACACACACACATACATACATACATACATACATACATACATACATACATACATACATACATACATACATACATACATACATACATACATACATACACACACACATACATACATACACACATACATACACACACACACATATATAGGTTGTTGATATTGAGTAAGTGATAAGTAGAGCACTACTTTCAAAAAAAAAAGTAGAGCACATGCTTTTTTTGTTACTCAAATATGATGAAAAATACGAAGTTGCTCTTCATTTTTGTTGAGGTACAAAGAGTTAGTTGAGATACTGGTAATTAAAAAATGTGGCTATTGGATCCTTTTATTATAGGGTCAGATATAAAACATACTGAAATTTTTACACTAAATAGTACTAAAGAATATACTTTTCTCAATGTAGTAGTATTTAAATTTTTATTTCCTAAATAGTACTCCCTTTGTCCTATAAAAATAGGGACGGTTTGACTAAAGTGGTAAAATAAGGAATGATAATTTTGGGTTGACTTTCCAAAAATACCTTTTATATGATGAGTAAAAATAGAATGTCATATATAGATTATTAGAAAAACGGTATAACGTGATAGGTAGGGTATGAATAAATAAAGAGTAAAAGTGGTTTTTTAATAGAAATGGGAAGGACGACTTTTAAGGACATTTTTTTCTTTTACAACGTGAAGGACTTTATGGGACGGAGGGAGTACTTGAATAATGTCTAGTGGTGGAACAATATCCAGTGATGGTAGATATTTAATTTGAACAATGTCTAGTGACGGTTGATTTTTTTGAACAATTAATAACCATTGGACGAATTGTGATACTCCATTGGATAACAAAAACATATGGTATGCTTTAGTATTATTAAGATAAATATTCCGCCCTAATTTACATATTAAACGAAGTCCTGATGGATATTTAATTTGAACAATGTTCAGTAACGATGGATATTTTTTGAACAATGACCAGTAGTGAACTTTGAACAGTAGTACTCGATTAGAAAATAAAAACATATGGTATGCTTTGTATTATTTAGATAAATATCCCTAAAAAATAGAGTCCTGATTTACATATTAAATGAAGTCCTAAATCTAATAGATTATGAAGAGGTGACCAACCTAGCTATTTGCTCTCAAGAGTGATAGGCTGAGGAGACTTCATGAATTTTCATTTAGATATTAAGGTATGCAATTATAAATTTATAAGATTACAAATTTGATATTTTATTACTTTTTGATAGAATTTAGGATGGGTATGGACAACCAGATTGGGTAATAAGACACTTGCATTGAACCACATTAAAAGATTGAATCCAATCGATTAATTAGTTCAACTGCACTTTAACACTCCCCCTCAAGTGGACAACCGGACCATTTTGAATCTAACCGGTTGACCACTTGCAAATGAACTCTCATTCCCTCGATTTTTTTTAGCACCAACACCTAAAGGACCACGAGTCGCTGGATATGAATCACATTAAAAGATTGAATCCAATCGATTAGTTAGTTCAACTCAAAAGCTTATATACCGATTATTTTACTCTGAGACTTCCGATGTGGGATGTACTTTAACACTTTTATAACTATCATGTTAATTACAATTATTAAAAAAAATAAATTAAGGGATACACCAAAATGAGGTACACTATTTGTACATCATGCAAACACAGACAAATACAGATACTAAGTATCTGTGTTTGCAAGGTTAAAATTAGGTACTCCATTTTGGTGTATCCCTAGCATGCCCCTTAAAAAAATTAATGATAGACTTTACTTCACTATCACAATTCACACATTGACTTGGCCTCTTGTTCATGTCGGTTAGGACCACTCTTCAATTCAGAGACGACCATGCACGTTAGAGTTGGAATTCCCAACCAAATGTAAAATTAGCGTGTAAAATTTATTGTATGACAAAATAATACTCTACAAAGTTTGTAAAAGTAAAGTGTGAGAAAAAGTATGAGTAAAAGTTAAAACTAATTTGAGCAAAAAAAACAAAAATGAAAAATACACCCACACCGAAATTAAAGCTGGTATCTTTACAAATATAAGCAAAAGTTAAACTAGTTTAACTCCATTATTAAGGAGTGTTTAATAACATTTGATTACTCCATATATTTTACTTCCTCCGTTCTAAAAAAGAGTTCCAATTTTAACCTAGTGTAAAAATAAGGAAGTGTTAAATTGTAGTCGATTTTCAATTTTGCTCTTGATGTGACGGGTAAATGTAAGATATGATGGATAAATTATTAGAAAAAAAGTACTCCCTCCGTCCCAAAAAATCTTTCCTGTTTCATTTTTTATGCATCCCATAAAACACTTCTACTGACATTTAAAATGCATGCCATGAAACAGGAAAGACTTTTTGGGACGGAGGGAGTATGAAATGATTGGTAGGGTATGAAAATTAAGGGTAAAAATTAGTTTATTAAAAGAAAGTGAAAGTGTTTTGTTGGAAGTGAAAATTTTGAAAGTGGAAGGTTTTGGAGAACGAAGTAAAATTTTTATATACTTAGTTTCAGAAATAGTTTTCACTTTCACCATTCATCTATATCAATAAACATTTTCACTTTGAAGTAATATCTCCTTTTACCCCTAATAATGTTGTACCCCTCAATCCTAAAATTAACTTTCCATTTAACTTTTCACAGTTTTCAATGTAACACTTTGACCATCAATATCTCCATTCGTATACAAATATATTCTATAAAAATAATATATTTCAAAACTATATTTTCAAAATGAATCTATTGATAATAAATTTATATGAAAATTCAATGTATTTTCTCTGTAATATACAGTCAAATTTTAAAAAAATTGACTACAAAAGTCAAAATTTATACTCCCTCCGTCCCGAAAAACATAAGAATTTTGGTTTTGGAGAAGGATTTAAGGGGAGTGTATTTTGGTATTGAATTTCCAAAAATATCCTTTGATATGATGGGTAAGTATGATTTGATGGATAGATTATTAGTAAAAGGGTATGATGTGATAGGTAGGGTATGAAAAAGTAAGGGGTAAAAGTGACTTTTAATAGGAATGAGAAGTATTTTTAGGACGGATGAAAAAAGAAAAGAAAAAGGTTTTCTGGGACGGAAGGAGTAAAATTTAACTACAAAAATCAAATAGGCTAGGGTAGTTAATTTTAAGAGGGAATTGAAGGAGTAATTATTAACATATCTTTTCACTATTAAGAAATGTATAGCATCATATCCTATTCTACAATAAACTAAAGTGCAAAATTAGAAAGTATCACTAAAAATATAATTTTCTTAAATTCCAAGTTTTATGGGAAAATAATAATAATGAGATGGAGGTAGTAATTGATCAGAGGAAAACACTCTCTATATTCATTATACTCCGTATGCATTAAGGTAGTGATAGGTCAGAAATAGAAAATCGCTATTATTGAAACTAGGGAAGAATTTTTCTTTTAGGATTTGGAAGTTCATTTCATACGAATACACACCTAAATCTGGCCACCGGAACACGATAAACTAATCAAACGTAACGTCGCAATTCATTTCATATTTTCCCCATATATATAAGGAAATAATTAAACACTGGTGGAATTTATAACACGGTAATAAAAAATACTCTCTCAATTTGACTAAATGCTCTAAACAATATAATATTTCAAACATACCCAAGTTGACAACTAAATTCCACTTTAAGATTTGAGAAATAGGTTTAAAAAATATGAACATACATATGATAATATATTATAATCGACTCATTAGAACTAAAAAAAATTCACTTTGAAGTTGGAACCGTTTTTGGGAACATTATTTTTAAATAACTTTGGGGTTTTATATTATTCTTTTACGTAATAATAATGGAGATTGACTTTAAAAATACTTCGTATTAAAAGTTAAACGAACGTTTTGAAAAGGCCATCCAACAATAATCCTTAACATTAGTGTTTTCAAAATTAATATAGACCATTAAAAGTTTATCAAAAACGTTAAGGCTGATAGAAAACATTATTTTCAAACAAAGCGGGTTCAAGAAGGTTAGTGGAACTCAAATTCAGACGTACCTTTACGTGGATTCTCCCAACGCTCGACGTCGTCGTTCCAACTCAATTAATTAGGAAACTCCGATGAGATACATATATATACAGACTCCAGATGAGCAGATATATATATATATATATATATATATATATATATATATATATATATATATATATATATATATATATATATATATATATACTTCGTAGTATAGTTACTTTAACTTGGAGCTGAAATGCTTGAATTGCTGATGAAGGGAATTAATTATATTAAAGACCTACGTACGCAGAATTATTATGGTACTCCGCATATCAAAATGGATGTTTATTGTTTAAAAATAAAAGAACGCGCTAAGCTCCACGACAAAATTTCGCTCAAAGGAGCTGGGGGGCGGCGGCGCTGCATGGGGGCGAGGGACACGTAGCCGACACGTGGCGGAGGCGCAGTAGCTTCCTCCCTCCGGAGCCTAACACGCGTCGGGCTCTGCCACTGGCACGTGCTTTTGTGGGACCCGCTCTGCTGCGGATATAGGTATGCTTTTATTTACCACCTTGCCCCCGCGACCGCTGCCTCCCATTGGCCCTCTTTTTCAGTTTTTCTATCAGGGGTGGACACGGTACCGGTACAGTACCGGTACCGGAAACGGTACCGCCAGTTCCGGTACAAAAGTACCGGAACCGGTACCGGTACCGCCCAATCCAGTACCGGTTCCGGTGCCCATTTTTCGATACCGGCGGTTCCGGTTCCGGTACCGTTATTTTTTTTTATTTTTTTTATTTTTTTATTTCATTCTTTCCTTTATCAATTTCATTTTTAGATTTTTTTATTTCATCATTTCTTTTAACAATTACACATTTACAATTTTACATTTTAAAAATATAATAAAAAAGAAAAAAAAAAAACAAAATTAGGGGTGGCCGAAACGGTACCGGAAACGGTACCGGAACCGGCGGTACCGGAACCGGAACCGGTACCGGCCGGTCCGGTACCGGTACCGGTACCAAGGGGTGGCGGTACCGGAACCGGCGGTTCCGGAACCGGAACCGTCCCGGAACCGTACCGTGTCCACCCCTATTCGCAAGGCCGGCCTTGTACATTCGTGTAATTTCCATTAAATATATATACTACTGTCATGTTAGCTCTACTCTTTTTTTTTTGGCCGCTATTGCTGTCTGCTGAAGCTTATCTCCAAAACCAGAATTAATAACTAACTCCCGAATTCTCAATCTTTCCTTTCTATTCTAGATTATTCCTTTCCTGCACCTTGAATGCATGTTAGTTTTATAGATTTTCTTACACAATTTTTTTTTGTTTTTTTATTTAAAAAAAAACTCTCTCCGTCCCATAAATTCTTTCACATTTCAAAAAAATTGCGTCCCTAAAAGTCTTTCTCATTTCTATTAAAAAATCACTTTTACCATTTACTCTTTCATACCCTACTTATCACATCATACCTTTTTTCTAATAATCTACACATCACATCCTATATTCCTACTTTTACCAATCACATCAAGAGTAATTCTGGAAAGTCAACACAAAATTTTTCCTCCTTATTTTACCACGTTAGTCAAACCGTCCCTATCTTTATGGGACGGAGGGAATATATGTTTATTTAAGTAGTAAAGAAATGAATATTTTGCTCATATGTAGGTCCATGGTGGACCTTAAATTCACCATAAAATTTGCCTCCATTCAAACATACTCTCTCCGTCCCTGAGTATTTATCTATTTTTAATTTTTTTTTCAGTCAAAATTAATAAATTTTTGCCTCAAATTAAATAAAAAATGATCGTAGAGGATACAATAATAATTTTCCTAGATTTATTACACATAATTATTGAAAAATATTGACTAAAAAATATTATTGTATCTAATTAGTATACACTATATAATTAATTAGTATACAATATATATTTTATTTAACAATAGGTCAAAACTGAAAACAATTGACTAAAAGAAGTTAAAATAAAATAGACAAATTCTAGGGACGGAGGTAGTATTATTGAATGGTATTAGAGGTGAGTAAGAATCCCAAAACCGTTATCCCGACTCAAAATTTCTTGGTTCCTTCCCTGTAATATTCCATTTTGTTAGGAATTATAAAAATTTGTTCCAAATTTGTTCCGAACCGTTTTAAAATGGGACAAAACCGGGACACATAAATATTTTCCCATTTTATCCCGTTATCCCGTTCATATGTATATATATCTAAAAAAATAAAAATAAAAATAAAAAATAAAAAAATGTACTCCATATGTATCAGTTTTAAAACATTCTAAATAAATACTCCGATATATCATTTTCATGTTTCTTGATTGTTTTGACCTTTTTAAAATTAAACATTCAAATAAATGTATCATTTTTTTCATTACTTTGCAAATCAAAATGGGTTGCCCCTCTGATGTATTTTATATTTTTATATCTAATTTTGAATAATGACAAAGTAGAACAATCCGAACCCATTTCGTTTTATCTTGATCCTAAATATTAAGGGACAAAGAGGGAACACCTTGTGGCGCGAACCGTTCCAAACCGTTTAGAAAAGACGGGACAAAACACGGGACGGTATATAACTTGAACTGTCCCGACCCATACCCACCCCTAACAGGTATAGTAGTCGATCAGTAAATTTTCAATTTTGGACTTTTTGATTTTTACGCCGTATTTGATTTTGAGTGAAGTTTACTTCAATTTTATTTTAATTGAATATGAAAATTAGTGTAAAAATTTTAAAATAAGGATCACACATTTAAAAACAACATCAAATATCCTATTGCGTCGGTCAAAATTCAATCTTCTCATTTGCTTTCTTCGCGTCGTCACAATCTGTAAACTTTTACTTCAACATGAAAAAAACATATGGAGTATTTTATTTCCATATAAATGTAATATATATAGTCAGTTAGTTTGAAAAAAAATAAAATTGTTATAATATATGTTAGAGAGTTTCCCACATCGAAACTTGAAGACAAAAACAAATAAATTTATAAGCTCTTGAATTGAAATAAATAATCGATTAGATTCAATCCTTTAATATGGTTTAAATCAAGTGTCATATGACCTGGTCTAGTGATCCCTACCCAATCCTAAAATTCTATCATAGTATCGGAGTAGGTTTTGACACACCTCATTTCTCAAGGTGTCTGTTTAGACGTCGTTCATTCTTAACGTCCTGCAAATCTGTGTATAAATATCGATATTAATAGTCATTATATTACGTTGAAGATCGTGAAAAGTGAAGTGAAAGATAAAATCTAGGCGGGGATAATATAAAATAAGCACTGTCATGAATCTATTATTTTATCCAATGATCAGTGAAAATACACGATAAAAAAATAATTTGGTTATCTGAATAATACAAAGTAATATAAAATCTTTTTATGAGGAGGCCAGGGTAATTAATTACTTCTCTGTCCCACAAAACCTTTTTCGTTTAGACATTAAAAAGATTTAAAGGAATGTATTTTGTTGTTGGCTTTCTAAAAATGCCCTTGAATGTGACGGGTAGATTAATAGTAAAGAGATGTGATGTGATAGGTAGGTTAAGAATTAGCAGGGGTAAAGTAATTTTTTACTCCCTCCGTCCCTAAATAAACTTCCCCTTTCGTTTTTCCTTTGTCCCCAAATAAACTTCTCTTTTCCTTTAAAAAACCCCTTTTACCCTTTACGTTTTCATACCCTACCTATCACATCATACCTTTTTACTAATAATCTACATATCACATCTTACTTTTACACATCACATCAAGGGTATTTTTGGAAAGTCAACACAAAAATATCCCTCCCTTAAATCTTCAAAAAATCAAAAAAGGAAATTTATTTAGGGACAAAGGAAGTAATAGAAATGAGAAATTTTTTTTGGGGTGGATAAAAAAAGATAGGAGAATGGTTTTAGGGGACAGAGAAAGTAATTTTGAATGCCACTTTTTTTTATTCTATTATATACTCCCTATATAAAAGCTGAATAATAAAATCAATCCAACTTTCCCCCGCCACAACCCGTAAATCTACCGCCCAATTTTGTTATATCAAAAAGCGATTAAATCTAGACCGAACGACCCTATCTACGACCCATTTGAATTTTGTAGAGATTATTTGATAAATCTTTGGCCGTACATCTCACCCCGATTCCTAAAAGATACACTGCCAAATTATAAAAAAAAAACTACATATTCATGATCTCGTCGCAGAAGGACATTTTCAGTTTCCATCTCTGTATCTTGCTACTGGTACACGTGATCTGTAGGACTCCCTTGATCAAGTAGTGTGCGAGCTGAGGATAGAGTTAGTCTTAGTCGTGCAATGCGTATGGCAGATTCTATTAGAAATATTAGAATGAATTCACAGCATAATATTCATCTTATTGAATACATCTATAATGATGTCTATAAATATTACAAAGTTACTAATGGAGACAATCAAGGAAAGTGAGTGGAAGTTAATCAAATATCTTGATTGGTAATTTGATTCCAATCAAGGATATCATCAAGATATTACACTATTCCACAATATTCCCCTTTTTTTGATATTTCTAACACTCCCCCTCAAGTTAAATCATCCGTTTCGGATGTTTAACTTGCTTAATGTTGCTTGAAAGACTCCAGCTGGCACTGCTTTTGTGAGAATGTCTGCCAATTGATCTCCAGATCGGACATATGGAAGACTGATGATATCTGCCTCGAGTTTCTCTTTGATGAAGTGACGATCAATTTCGATGTGCTTGGTACGATCATGTTGTACTGGATTCTCTGATATACGAATAGCAGCGGTATTATCGCACATCAGTCTACTTTTACCCTTCGGCGGATACCCCAAATCTTTAAGGAGTTTTCTTAGCCAAAGAACTTCAGTAATTCCTCGAGCGATCCCTCTGAATTCTGCTTCTGCACTTGATAGAGCAACTACCTTTTGTTTCTTGCTTTTCCATGTGACCAAATTACCTCCAACAAAGGTGAAATACCCTGAAGTGGATCTTCGATCGTTTGGATTCCCTGCCCAGTCAGCATC